AGTTTAGTCATTAGGGTGAGTTTAGACTACAAAATAAACAGCCTCTCCAAGTACAGCATGATTTTATTCATGCAAAATTGTATGATCCACTCAGGCACAACCCCGAGCAGCAATGTGTCTTCCTCCTGTGCTGGCATCACTTCATAGGTCCCTCTGTGTTGTATGCACGCCACAGGGCTGCATACCTTCCTATATTGTTACAGGGAGGTGGAATGAGGAAAGGTTTTTCAGGAGGAGAATGAAAAAAGAGAAGAAATAGACCTGTGGTAGTGGAACAGCCAGCTCTGGCCTGCAAGAAGGAGAAGTAGACACTCAGTTTCTTATTCTTATCCAAACTGATTGGAGTCCCCCTCATCTAACTACTGATGGGGTTCTCATTAATTTATTCACTCTTTCTCCTATTTACTGAGCACCTCTTGGAAGCCAGGCACTGTGCTTGGTACTGAGGATAAACAAGGAGTAAAAACAGACTGTCCTTGATTTCACAGAGCTGGAGGTTGCAGAAACAAACATTAACCAAATAATGATACAGATAAAAATAAACTCTTGATTGCAGGATGTGCTATGAAGAGGGGCATACAGGGCAGTGAAAGCCCTCACAAGGAGACCTGACCTAGTCCTGAGAAAGCTAAGAAAGTGGTACCTGGGCTGAGAGCTGACCAATGAAGTGGAGTTAATTACATTTGTCCAACTACAAGCAAAAGGCACTTCCAGACAGGAGACTTCCAGGCAAGGCCCGTGGCAGGGAGGTATGGCCAGAGGGGTGCAACACAAAATTGGAGTCAAACCATGAAAGGCCTTGGAGCACTATACCAAGAACAGGGGGAAGCCACTGAGGCAGGAATAAGTATGATCACATGCATGTGGATAGGCACACTTGGCCTCCTATGTGGAGAACGGATGCTGGGGACCAGAGTGCACAGGGAAGACCATGCAGCCAACTATGACAGTGGTCTGGGGAGAAACAAGGCACAGCTTTTCCTGTATCATCCCTATGGGACAGAAAAGCAGGGTAGGGGAGAGCTTTATAAATGGGAAGGAGGAAAGAACAGGGTGGGGCTGACAGTGACACAGGGTGGGGGCATTCAGGGCCCTGCCGGCCCCTCTCCACTGTCACTACAGCTCACACTGTGACGGGGCTGGGGTGGGATGGGGACACTAACTTTGCAAATGTTTGAGATTGATCAAAATCAAAACTGATCTGCTGAAGAGGCCTATCAGTACTGTGAATACAAAGAGCTCTACAAAAAACATTTTATAACACCGTTAGCAGGGTGCTAAGAAGTATGGTCCAAAATGATAAGATTCCAGTTTCTAAAAACAGATTATGCAGAGTCATCCTTTAAAAATGTAGGTCAGATCACATCCCATCTCTGCTCAAGCTCCCCTCGTGGTCAGTCAAAGCCTCCGGGCGTCACCAGCCAGTGGCCTCCTCCCATCCCCACCCTCATCTCCTACTGCTCTTGCTCTTTCCTCTGCTCGCTCCTCCCCGGGCGCCTCACCACTCGGTACACAAGCTTCTGCCCCTACTCTTCCCTCTGCTGGGCACGCTCTGCCCTCAGGTGTCCTCTGACTCAATCCTTCTCTGCCTTCAAGGCTTTGCTCAAAGGCCACTTACATACAAACCTCCTGCCCAGTGCTCTCTCCATCCCCTCTAGCACTCCCTAACCCCTTACCTAATCTGTTTTTCTCCACAGCACTTACCTTTAATATGTTATAATCTACTTCTTTATTCTATCATTGTCTTCCTCCCACTAGAATGAAAGCCCTAGGAGGGCACAGGTTTTTAGGTATTCTGTTGATGGCTGCATCTCTAGTAGCTAGGACACTGCTTGGCACATGGTAGGCACTCAAAAATTTTTGTTGAATGAATAAAAGAAATATACAGGCCAGGCATGGTGGCTCACACCTGTAATCTTAGCACTCTGGGAGGCCGAGGTAGGAGAATCGCTTGAGCTCAGGAGTTTAAGACCAGCCTGAGCAAGAGTGAGACCGTCTCTACTAAAAACAGTAAAAATTAGCCAGGTGTGGTGACATGTACCTGTAGTCCCAGCTACTCGGGAGGCTGAGGCAAGAGTATCGCTTGAGCCCAGGAGTTTGAGGTTGCTGTGAGCTAGGCTGATGCCAGGGCACTTACTCTAGCCTGGGCAAAAAGAGTGAGACTCTGTCTCAAAAAAAAAAAAAAAAAAAAATAATATATACAATATAGAAGAAAGTAGACAATATGAATTCAGAAATGCCTCCCTAAGTTTTACACTTAGATTATAGATACAATAATGGCAACAATAAAAAAAAAGGATACGAATTCACTTTTGAGTATTTAAGAGACACTTTAAGGGTTTCTTTAAAAAGTTAGTATTCATGTGGAGAATGAAACCCTCATACACGGCTGGTGGGAATGTAAAATGGTGCAGTCTCTGGAAAACAGTGTGGCAGTTCCTCAAAAAGTTAAACACAGAGTTACCATATATGGCAATTCTACTTGTAGGTTATATACCCAAGAGAAATGGAAACATATCCACACAAAAATTTGTACATGAATGTTCATATGAGCATTATTCAGAAGAGCCCAAAAGTGAAAACAATGCAACTGCCCATCAACTAATGAATGGATAATAAAAGGTGGTATATTCATACCTTGGAATATTATTCGGCAATAAAAAAGAACGAAATTCTGATACATGCTAGAACATGACGAATTTTGAAAATATTATGCTAAGTAAACAAAGCCAGTCATAAAAGACCACATATTATGTGATTCCACTCATATGAAATGTCCAGGACAGGCAAATCTAGAGACAGAACGTAGATTAATGGTTGCCAAGGCTGGGGAGGAAGAGGAAGAGAGAGGTTTTGAGGGGGGAAATGGGGAGTGACTGCTAATAGGTATGGAGTTTTTCTGGGGGGGATGATGAAGATGTTCTAAAATTGACTATGATAATGACTGCACAATCCTGTGAATACACTAAAAAAGATTATACACTTCAAATGGGTGAATTGTATGGCATGTCCCCAGCATTAAAAGCTTACCTCTCACAGACTTTATAGCCTTCATTGACACTCACTGCTTTGTACTTCATGTTGCCTTTGGTCCGTTCCAATTCCCAACACCAGTCCTTAAGTGTGTCAAACATTACTGTATGGTTCTTGGGATCAGCGGCTAACAAAACAAAATTTAAAAGACAATAAAATCCTTTCATGAAGCACTGGTATTTTCATTATGTGAAAGTCCCTTCTAAGGTCCCAGTTTTCTCCACTAAGTCCATTTTTATCTAAGCAGAATGAATTCACTGCTTAATCCTAAATATGTTTCATTTTTTGGTCATTAATCCAAAATTATGACCAAGGCTCTGTCTTTTTATATTGTAGGAAAGGAATTATTCTTGTTCCATTCCTTGCAAAAGTCATTTATAGCTCCATTTTCAGTCATCTGACCATGAGATAATTGCTATAACACAAAAAGATCGTGTGAAGCACTGAAAGGCAGACTTGGCACAAATGCTAAAATGATGAACTATTTTTAGCCCTACCAATATGTGCATAAGATGGCAAACTGATGCGAATAGCATCCCAGATTCTTGAATGTAAATCCTCCTTCAGTTCGAAGATGCACTGCCTGTAAAAGGATTGTCCAGTGTGACAGCTGGTTACTAAAGGCCACAAACTGATCACAGTCATGGTGAGGGTCAGGGCCTGCCAGCCAAGGGCTGCATCAGGGTGATGGGTGCTTCTGCCTCTAACCCAGCCCAGCCACTATCTGTTAGAACAAAATGCCAGAAGCACTGCTTTTACCGCTCAGCATATATGTCCTTGGTCCTCTCACCACAGCACTGCTTGTAGGGGGTGGCATGCACCAAAAATAGCCTCCGGTATTTACACAAATTCTATCACAGATAAGTTTAAGCCTCTGCACATCTTAAAAAACCAAACCTTCTGGGAAAAACAAAGTGTTTGATGAAACTGCACCATCTGCTCCTTTTAATAAAACCAGATCATAGAACAAATAATAATGATGATGATAATAGTCAATGTTAATATAGCACTTACTATGTACCAGGCAATGTTCTGAGCATATTACATTTTATGAACTCAATCCTCACAATCCTATAGGATAGATAATATAATAGGTAATATTATTTCCTTAATTTTACAGATGAGGCACACAAAGGTCAGGTAACTTAGCCAGGTCACACAGCTAGGCAATGGTGGAACTGGAATTCAAACCCAGGCAGGTATAAAGGAAATTTCCATAAAGTACTAATGCAAAAAAAAAATTTCCGGGCCGGGCGCGGTGGCTCATGCCTGTAATCTTAGCTCTCTGGGAGGCTGAGGTGGGCGGATTGTTTGAGCTCAGGAGTTCGAGACCAGCCTGAGCAAGAGCGAGACCCCGCCTCTACTAAAATTAGAAAGACATTAATTGGCCAACTAAAAATATATACAAAAAAATTAGCCGGGCATGGTGGCGCATGCCTGTAGTCCCAGCTACTCGGGAGGCTGAGGCAGGAGGATAGCTTGAGCCCAGGAGTTTGAGGTTGCTGTGAGCTAGGATGACGCCACGGCACTTACTCTAGCCTGGGCAAAAAGAGTGAGACTCTGTCTCAAAAAAAAAAAAAAAAAAAAAAAAAAATTTCCCCATGGACATAAGTGATAACAATACTCCCACTCAGTACAGTTGGCCATTTTCTTAGCAATACAGGCAAGTATTTCCCTAAAATGCCATGTCATAATATTTTAGGACCTCTCAGCCAAAACTCATTTGTGAATTATTAAGCCAGAAAATAATTAAGGGTACTCACATTGCAAAGCACCCACCTCTACAAGCCCCTACTCAATGTAAAATCTAATTGGGCAATTAGCATCTATCAGTCATAACCTTTACTTCTCAAAAAAAAAAAAAATATGGGTTGGAAGGAAGAGAGGAGGAGGAGGATGGAATTAAAATAGAATAAAAGATGCTACATATCCTGGGCCTCTGGCACAAAAAGCCACCAGAAGGTAATGAAACTGCCAGGATTGATGAAGGTCAGAGTTCTGGCACGCTGATCAACATGCTGACAAGCTGAGAAACTGTCCTATGCTGGGTCCAGAACAAGAATCAGGATATAAAGAGACAAAATTTCTAAAATAGACTATGATTTTTCAAATGTGCACTCAGTAAATGTTTATATAAATTACAGTAATCAAAGAAGTCATATTTGTATACCTCATATAGCTGCAGCTATAAGCCAGCACCCAGTTAATAAGCACTTGTATATATAGCTACAGGGAAAAGATATCATTCACAAAGATAAATTTATTGAATTAAGGAACACATTTTATGTTCAGCCTAATATGAGTGTGAAGTGTATTCTATGTCAGTACAATTCTCTGAACATAATCTGTCCTGAAGAATATGCAGTTTGCTCTCAACTAATTCTCATTTAATGACTATCGCCCACGTGCCATGCATTTAACAATTTATAATCTTCACAGGACTTCAAGGGAAGTATTAACACTGCTGTTTTTAAAATGAGAAAACAGAGGTCCCAAGAGTTAAGTGTCATCCTCAAACTACACAATGAGAAAGCAGCTGGGCCAGGATTTGAACTCAGGTGGGACACAAACCAAAACCCATACCTTTTCTACTAATTACTGTAATTCCCAAAATGCAACATGCTCTCTGAGATATCTACATCTCTGTACATGCCAATCCCTCTGCCTAAAATACCCCTCTAAGCCTATCAGATGCTCCCACAGCCTCCACTATCAGCAGAGGCACAGCATTCTCCCTCTGACAGTCTGCCCCTCCCCCAGAGTGGATGGGCACTTCCCTCAGAGGGCACGTCACTCAGGTGCCTCTCCTATTTGACTTTATGTTCCTTGAGGGCAAGGATTTAGTCCTGTTCACCTCAACATCTACACAAGGCCTAGCCCACAGCAAGCATATAATAAATGTTTACTAAATGAGTAGATAGCAACAAAGCAACTCTGTATTCCAAAAAGATATTACAAAGCCTTATATGCTTTTAAAAGAAACTGCCACTTCCCTGACAAAAAAGCACAGGAGACTGAGGATCACTAAATGTCAACTTCATGTTAAGAGTAATAGGCAGAGCAAGTGAACAGGCTGAGGCAAGAGAACTAGAGAAGGAAGAAGACAGACATCTGTAAAAACATGTCCGATGCTAGGCGTTGTTAATGGCTAATTCAGATGGCCAGAGTTTCTTACTTAAAAGATTGCTCTCTTTTTCAGCAAAGTGAATGGAAAACATTTGGAACCTTAAGTTTTCTTTTAGCAAACTAGTTTTCTGATATGCTTTTCGTATGTACAACTGTCTCATTTCCCCCCAAGTATTTGCTACAAAGCATGTTCTGGTTATTTAAAAACTTTCTAGAATGCAAGATATTCTCTAGAGTCTTGTGAAACGAAATCGAGTACATTTAAGTGGAAAAAGAACACAGGGACAAACATAGTTATTTTAAACTTGTTTCAGTTTTGTGTCTCTATAGTCTCACATTCCCAGTTATATTGATTTTATCTTTCATAAGAAGCAACAAACCTAAAAGATAAGTTAAAACAAAGATCACAAGGAAAAACAAAGTAGAAACCTTCTGACTGAATCCCTCAAGCAAGAGGTGACCCCCAATAGCTAGAGAAGGGAGGGGGAAAGAAACCGAAAACCACCCATGGGTGGGTTTCTTCCCTCATTGGTTTCAGGTGGGAATTGGAAGGGTCCTGCCTACCTTCAAATGAAAACCCAGAAGAGACTTACCTGTATTGTTTTGTGTAGCAGTTGCATAGGAAAACAGAAACAATCGTTTAAGCAGTTTAGGAGCCTGAGTATGATGAATTATGCCACTGACAATCTAGAAAAGAACAGACCAGTGGATATAGTTACGCTTTTGACAGACGAACTCTTAAGAGAGACAAGAGTCAAAGTGTCTAGGTTCTCAGTTATGCTAATGGGGCTCCAGTGAACAATACGTTAACTCCTATGGAGGTCTGTATCTATGATGTTAGCTCTTGGATAATCCCAAATCAAGAGAATGCTAGCTATTTTGTCAGGTTTCCTAAGAACTCTGAATTTCTAGGAAAATTTTTAAAACATAGTCTAATTTCTCAAAAGCAAAGTATTAAAAAACTTAAGAGTCATATTAAAGTCAGATACTCCAAAAATCTGACTTATCAAAGACCTACAGCTGATAACCAGCTTCAGCAACATAGAGAGACTCTGTCTTTACAAAAAATATAAAAATTAGCCAGGTGCGGTGGTACATGTCTGTAGTCCCAGCTACCCGGGAGGCTGAGGCAGGAGGATTGCTCGAGCCTGGGAGTTTGAGGTTGCAGTGAGCTATGATGACACCACTGCACTCTAGCCCAGAGACAGAGCAAGACCCCGTTTCAAAAAAAAAAAAAAAAGACAGCTGATATCAGATAATAACCAAGACACTAAGCTGTTCTCTGACCCACTTGTCGTGGCCTTTAAGAACTTCTAGAAGATGAGGGAAAGAAATCAATCTGTCACGTTTTCTGTTGGTCTATCGTGCCAAAAAAAAAAGTATGTTTGGACAGATGACTAAAACCATCAATCAAACCAAAGTTTCTGGCTTCTCAGGGAATTTTCCATATCTACAACACTTTTTTCCTGCTCAGAATAGACACCAGAGTTGCGTTTATTATTCTAACTGAACTACCACACTAACTGAAAGAAAATTAAGGAGTTACCTGTAAGTGTCCATAACTCACTGTAGCCAAGACAATATACATGAACTGGCCTCTTGCTAGGTTTCTCCTGATGTATTTACTATGAGAGTGGCAAATTTGAGACCCTCAATATCTTAATAAGAGAAATCCTGGAAGTTACAATAAATATCAAACTGATACAGCCACTTTTTGAGTTCCTCCAGTTACATATCTCGACTTGCTGTGGCAACCAGGAGATTAAGTTTAGTCCCCAAGAGCATATCTGATGACTTGGCTTTGCTCATCTGACTTGTGTACCTCCTCCTTCCATGCACAACCACTACCTCCCAGCAGTGAACTCATTTACTCACAGGAGTTGTAAGCTCACCTCTGAGAGCTACTATCTTTTAGAAAGGCTGTCAGAGGTGGGGGAAGAGGGATAAACTTTTAGCTGTCCCATCCTTCCCTTTCCCCAACCGCCACCTGACCTGGTTTACCACCTCCCACCATTTAGTGGCTGTGGGAATAAAAACATTATGAATTGAAGGATTAAATGTACCATGTGCCAAGATGATAATACAGGCATGCTTTCCCAAATTGCCTCTCACATGCTAATCAAAGAATATGGGATTATAACCAATTTCAACTTCACAGAGTGAATAAGCTACCCTAAACCTTCCCGCAACGTAAGCAAACACTTGAGCTAGTGGGGAAAACCTGATGGGAAATAAAACCTGAAAACACATGCAACTAGTTACCCTTTTGACTTCTTCTTCCTTTGTGTACCTCAGACAGAAGTGGAACACTCGCAGGTCTTTGCAGTGGATGATGAGTTTCTCGGGGTACTTCTTCAATTGTCCAAAGAGAGTTTTTTTTTTCTCATCAAACACTACAGATCAATGATAAAATCAGGAAGGAAAATTATGTTATATGGCAATAAATTAATGCTAAAGAAACAAGGTAGACTATTCACTTCCAAGAATACATTTCAAAAGCAAGAGGAAAGGTGCTGCCTGCCTTCTGAGCGACTGTCTCCAGCAGGGGCCCAGGCTCTCTGAGTGCAGTTAGGGTTCCTCATTCCTCTGGAGTAAGCACACGACCAAGGCAGACTGGCCACTGTCAGCAGAACTGACTCCACTGGCTTAAAGAAAACTCAGTTCTTAAAGCTGAGATTATAAGAGATGGGAGGGAGATTGCTAGGGACATGCTTTCATGACAGTCAACTCTGACACCTCCCTCCCTGTCCCAGAATTTGGACTCACTCAGCACCTACTGGTGTTGAGATCATAAATGGTTACTGAATGATTTCTGAAGATGTCCTAAATACAAAATGGAGAAGTGGAACAGAGAGGCTTGGCAGGAGAGGCTTATTTAGTCACCAGAAAAGATATCCTAATGCAATACAACAGATCTTTATCAGATTAGCCTGTAAAGTAAAACCTACACAGCTAACACTGATAGCAAAAGTACAATCAACATGTAATAGATAATGGCATTGTGTGGAATATTAGAAATAACAGGTTCCAAGTTCAAGTCCAAGCTCCTCCAGCTAAGTGACCCCAAACATGCCACTTCACATCTCAATTTTATCATCCATAAAGCTGATTTAAACAGTGTATGTGAAAAAATTTTAGTAAATTATAAATGGTCATAAAATTATTATCATCATTATCAGCTATCCTTTCAAAGGCTGGTAAGGGAAAACTGATACTTACCTCCATAAATCTGATCAACACAGTGAAGTGTAATGTCATTTTCTCCTATAACCTTATTCTTAAATTGAGTTTCCTAAAAAATTCAAAAGAAAACAACTGTGACTCCTCTCTGTGCACAGTTATACATTTATGGGCAGAGCAAATCACTCCTCACGTGTATTAAGAAAAATGGGGAAACACAGCCACATCCCTAAGAAAGGGACAGCGAAGTGTGTGAGCATTCACTTTTCAAACTCGGGCAGAACATGCCATTTCAGGGCTGCTCCCAGGCAAACCCACCAGGCCACACATGATCACTTTGAAACGTGGGAAATGATGTGCAGATTAGCTTTTCTCCACACAAATGTGAATAGGTGACTGATGCAACTACCCGAAGACAGCTTTAGGAAGAAAACACTGGGAGATTCAAGTTTCCGGTAAATGGTGTTTTTGTACAGGACTATGAACGAAGAGCAGACGGAGGAGGCAGCACCGATGCTGCTGTTTAAAGAGCAAGAGTGGTCTGGCATGGCTGGCATAGTGGCGCCAGGAAGACCCTTGGCTGGGTTTCCACTAACATACGGGGCTCTCTTAGCAGTGTGGGTTCTCTGTTTCCTCAACTGCTCATTCTTCATAAGTACGGGCCAGTCTTAGAAGGATGCTGCTACTAGGTTCAGATTAAACATAAAATTCAAAGACAGCATTCACTACCAGTTTCGTTATTGAACTTAGTTCCTGATTTGAGGAAGAGTTTAGTATAAAGAAAATATAGGGAACTAGTATTTTTAAGAAAAATTGACGGTGTCAACCTGTGAGGTCAAAGCAAGCCAACGTGACATGAGGCACAGGTGGAAAATTTCTAAGTGGTTCTACTACTGAAAGGAGACCCTGAAGGACAGAGAGCAGACCCGTGATGAGAAGGACTTCTGTCTTTTGTTTATATTTATTGGAGGGGGAGTAATTGAAAAGCTGAGAAAAAGACAAATTCACAACTAGACTGTTCTCCCCAAACTCTGCCAAATGCAGCTGATACATACAGGACTTCTGTCCTTTGTGTTTCTGTGTTGGGGGTGGAGTAATTGAGAAGCTAGGAAAAAAGACAACAGAGCCACAACTGCACTGCTGCCCCCAACTCAGCCAAATGCAGCTCATACATACATCATTATCCAGTGCAGATTCATCATCACCCAAGAAAGCAATCTTGAAGTCTGTGCAGACAAGTCTCCCATAGACCCCATGCTGACAAGAATCTTCCTGGACATACTTCAGTACTGTGCTGGCTTCACAAAGCAGCTGCTCACCTGGTACAAATCAAAACAAGTCCTCCTTAGAGTCCTCAGGAAACATACAGTATGCAAACACTGAAAGCTTTTCAGCCCTATTTATGTAAGGACAAACACAATACAATGCAGCACTTCAGAACTTTATACTTTTCGGCATGGCAGGAGCTACAAAACATAGGGGAGATGATGAAGCCAAAATATAGGGGAGATGATGAAGCAGAGTAGAAATCATCAACAAGTGAAATCAAAATGGCTCAGACACACCTTCCCACAGGACATTCCTCTGTCTTCTCACTGGGAATAATGGAAGTTTCCAAATAGGTGGTAATGATCTCAGCTGCACTTTTAAGCATAGATGTTTTTTATTACTCTGACCTAGGCAGATGTTCCACAGAAGCAATACCCTAAATGAGCAGACACACAGGCCCACCGGTGTGCCCTAGAATGCAGATCCCAAGCCCACTTTCCTGTGAGGGGGGCCCTTTCTAATGATGGAATTGCTAAGAGAGAGCAGGGTGTCTCCCTGGCCCCAGGGCTTCCAGGCAGCTTCCTCATACATAAGAGGTGCTGCTGCCTCTTGAAGCGTGACCACCCTCATTCTGGCTCCATGCTGGGAGGAAAAAGGAGGTCAGAGGTTTGTGGGAAAAAAAACTGTTTCCTCTCTTTCTTAGTTGAGAGTATTTCCTCTCAATGTGTCACCTTCTCCTGTTCGATCTAGGCATCCAGCCCATGTGAGAAGCTGCAGTGCCTGGAAACAGAGCACTTCTTTTTACAGTCAGAAAGATTAGGATTGGGGGATAGGTAAGTATTTTCTGCTCCTTGGAAGCAGGGAAGCTCATGAGGACAGGAAAAAGAGAAGACTATGGGGGGAATGAAAAACTAAGTGTAAATGCTTTGCAACCAAAAACACCAAAAAGGAATTTTCTTCTCATCCAACAGATTACCATCTTCCCCTCAGAATCTCCCTCTACTTATCTCCTTCAAGGTCTTTATGTTTACTTTTTGGCTCAAAATTCATTTAGTCTAGCTTTCAATATAAAAACAAGAGTTTCAGACACTCCAAAGGGACTCATATTACGGTGTTAGGGTTTTTTCCCCCCCATCTCTCAAGGGGTTAATTACCTCCAGCTGAAACACTAAGGAAATACCGGAAGATGGCTCTGTCACTAGGTCAGCCTTCGGAGAGACCACAGAGTTTGAAGAAAACAATGAAGTCAGGGCCTCATTAGAGTTTAAAATCTTCCCAGAAAAAGTGTCTCAGCTCAGTCTAAGGTAGAAGACATGTGAGCAAGGCTTCCTGTGCTTTCAACTCCCAATGTGAAACAGCTTTTAATAGTTAGGCTCCCCCTAAGACCAGGCCAGTCCCCTCCTATGGTCATGTACTAGAGACCAGGTATTAGCACGTGCTGGCTAACACAATATTCCTTGTAACCCTCTGCAAACACGGCACGCTGTGCCATAGTAGTCAACTTGTTTGTACCAGGTACAGAGTCTGGAATCATGAGAGTTGGGAGCCGGAAATGACCTTAGACTAGTTTAGGAAACTGAGGCTCAGAGAAGTTAACTGTGAACTCACCACTACACACCTAGAAGAGACCATCAAGAAATCCAGGAGAGGAGAGAATATATGTAACACTAAGCTAAAAATAAAAGTTAATTCCAGAATCTATGACCCCAAGAAAAGGGAAAATAGCAGGAGATATGAATTAAGGTTTAGGTCATCATTACAGAAAAAAAGCCTTTGAAATTTAAAAATATCAAAAGAAGTTATAGGAGTCCAATGTATTTTACCAAATAAGGTGGATCAGTCAGAAACTTGCACAGATTCATATCCCCTCAATAAACTGGAATAAAACAAAAAATACCAGAACGAAGCCTCTATTGTTTGGGGAAAATGTACCTAAAAAACTTATCAAAAAAAAGCTATTTTGGATTGGGAAAAAGAAAGTAGAAAAAGAATTAAATACACAGATCACAGAATATCCTGTATATGGAGAGGATACATCAAGTAGTTTCTGTTCCTGAACTCAGAAATGATTATAATTTAAGCTATAGTCACTTTCCTCCATCTCAAAAATATCCAACCAATCCAGACTCTTTCATAATGACTGAAGAGCAAAGTCCTGAGGGTTCCAGGGTTGGTAAACCCCAGCATCCCTGTACATGTTGCTCAGATGCACATGTATAGACCAATGGGTGAGGCCACCCGCGAAAGCTTGTCCTGGGAGGCCCAGGCAGCTGCACCATTCAAGGGCAGGAAGAGGGTATGGGGTGTACCGCTCTGCTGGGGTCTGACATTTTCTTAACCAACATACTCACTAGATGGGGCCAAGTAGGATGACCTGAAAAAGGCCTCATTTGCTTGTGAAAGAGGTGAGAATTTCCCAGGTTTATTTTCATTAGCTTGGGGGAAGAGGAAACAAGAAAAATTCTTTGTAGATGTTGTAATACTCAGACCCAGGTGTGTAGTTATTGAACTAAAGACCTTGATATTTTTGTCCAACTCACTATTGTCACATGCAAGAGAATGAAAACAAAGGAGTTTATATATAGCAAGACTTTGGTTGATGTAATTTATCACTGGCTTTGAGCTACATATGGGTTATGATGCTAACATGGCAGTTACCTGGCAACAAGTGAAGTGTTACTTCCTTCTCTGTTACTTCCTTTTCATTTGTGTGAATTTCCTAAAAGAGAAAAGAGGGTAATAATTTTTCTTTGTTTAAGGGTTCAAAATGAACAACATACATCCATGCTTTCGGTACACACATTAAAATATATACCCTCAGGAGCTCTTTGTTTATTTGACAAGCTAGTTACTTTTTTAAAAAGTGTTTTTAACTAAAGGAAGATAGAAAATTTCAATGTTAGGGACAGTCAATGCATTAAACTAATTATTCAGGATTGACAACAGAGGGGCAGGGGCAGGCAATTCCTTATGAGGAATAAGGGTCACACAGCAAAGCAAGGCATCTCAAACAGAGTCAGAAAGAGAATAGAAGCCATGCCACAGCGTGGTTCCCCTTTTCCCTCCAGTAAGAATCACAGGCTAGAAGCAAGAAAAGATTGTGTATTCTTGAGAGAAAATGGACATATGGGAAGGCTTGAAGGCAGGAAAATGTGAATGTATCCAGTCAGCATTGATCCATCTACTCTGTAGCACACCAGTACTCAGTAAAGATGGCTGGAACATTCTTTGCCCATTCTAAGTTACCTAAAACCACAAGACAGTGCCAAGGGGTGCAATCACTTCTAATGGGGAATCCAAGCCAGGTTCTGTGTCATTGCTTATCAATAAAAATATATTCAAGTGTCTCTATTTTAGGCTGTGTTTATTGGATATTCAAAGATAATTAGCAAACCTTAATGAATTAATGGACCAAAGTGACAATAAATGGCTGTTAATGTAACAAAAAGGGACAGATGGGCCTTGTAATGATATCTACCACACCATCTATGAAGTGTTCTTGCCAAAATATCTAACCTCAGTCTGCTTGAACTTTCACACCAATCAACCAATTTATAAGAAATACCAGAGGCCAGGCTCAGTGGCTCACACCTGTAATCCCGGCACTTTGGGAGGCTGAGGTGGAAGGATTGCTTGAAGCCAGGAGTTTGAGACCAGTCTGGGTAACATAGCAAGACCCTGTCTCTACAAAAAATTTAAAAGACTAGCCGGCATAGTAACGTACACATGTAGTCCCAGCTTCAGCAGAGGAATTCAAGGCTGCAATGAGCTACGATTGCGCCACTGCACTCCAGCCTGAGTGATAAAAGGATATCCTCTCAAAGAAGAAGAAAAAAATCAAAAAGAAATACTAAGACAGAGAAACATGTTAAATGACACACCACGGGTATGCAATCAGTCAAATTCTGACTGTGGAAAATTCTACAAGACACAAGTTTTGTTAACAAATAATACTAGATTTTTTTTTTTTTTAGAAAATTCTGGGTGCAAAAAGTTTTCTGAATTTGTTAATTCAGACTCAAATGTGGCATTAGAAGAAACTTGGGTACAGCTGAGGCAAAGACTCACTATATGGCCATTTTTTTTTTTTTCTAAGACAGAGTCTTACTATGCCACCCTGGGTAGAATGCAGTGGCGTCAGCAACCTCCAACTCCTGGGCTCAAGGGATCCTCCTGCCTCAGCCTCCCAAGTAGTTGTAGTTGGACTACAGGTACACGCCATGACGCCCAGCTAATTTCTCTATTTTTAGTAGAAACGGGGTCTCAATCTCGCTCAGGCTGGTCTCGAACTCCTGATCTCAAGCAATCCTCCCACCTCAGCCTCCCAGAGTGCTAGGATTACAGGTGTGAGTCACCTCACCTGGCCTAGAAAGCCCGTCTTGAGACTAAAGAAGAATGCCATGGCTTTTCCAGAGAGCCCATATTGAGATGGTCTATTTTGAAGGTGACTGCAATTTCCATCCCAGGAGATGCCAAAAACTCAAGCCTGAGGCAGGGCTTCTCAAACTTGGGGCAGGTCAGATCACTGGGATGCCTGTTACCTACATACTCTCAGGCCCCCCACAAGCCTACGGACTTAGAGTGTGGGGATGCAGGCTGGCCCTCTGGTTTTGTAAAACGCTCCCCTGATGATTCTGATGCATTGCTCTGGGATTTAAGAAAGAGGGACCATTCTTGCACATGTAAATGCTATGAGCGTTTTGGTGACTTAAAAATTCCTGTTGAGCGTTCTCATCATTTGTTATTGGCAAAGAACTAAATTAAAGAACGATTATTTTTGACAGGTTCTATCATTTTTCCCCGAGGAGAGAGTAAAGTTATTCATTAAATTCAAGCAGCTTTCGGAAAAGTATAGAGATCATCTTGACTGGTGGTTGGAATTCAGTCCAAACACTGGAGCAAGCTTGGAGAAGACTAGCCTATTGTTATGTCAGCAGAAGGAAGTTATATGATCCAAAACTATCTACATTAACTCTTTAACTGGTTAGTAAAATTCCTTCGTTACATCCAGAAACAAAACAATCAGGAGCTATCTTTTAGGATTCTGTCCTACCCAACCCCACCACACTCCACCTCCCTACACTACTTACTGTTCCCTGCTCTTGCAACCTCCTGGACTAAACTACCTCCTCCCCAGTCAACTGCATGGGGAAACTAAGGATACATCCATACATTGGGCTAATCATTTTCTCTCTCCTATTAATTTGGCTAAAGGGCTAAGAGATGTCAATTGACCTTGCTGCTTAAACTAGAGACTTGTAAATTTGGCTGCAAATATGGAGAAGCAGAGAAAGCTGTTCTGCACAGAACAGAAACATGAAGAGGACACAAGAGATAAAAGCCATAAAAGCCCGCCTCTCGGCCACACAAATAATGGCCTGGACTCTCATGGCTTCCCCAGCTTTTGTGGGGCCCAACCACATCTTTGATCCACAGTTCCATGAGTCACATCTGTATCTTTAAAATAAATTCCCCTGTTGGGATAAAATAGCTAGTGCGGGTTTCTATTAATTGTCACCAAAGATATTGACTTAGGTCAAATGCATCGATGATAGAGAAACCACAAATGTCACCCAACATGTCAATGTACAACAAAGCTAGAGCCACAGGATTAGGGACTAAGGTCACAGCCACCACTTCACAAGAAAAATTGGCAGAGAAGAGTCAAATGTCAGACGTAGCATCTACTGGCTCAAGTGTGTGGCTTTTAGGTAGGGTGAGGATGTATGAGGCCTCCAAACAGTAAGGCCCTCAGAGGATTTTGCCATTATCCAGCTGATGACAACACCCCTGAATGGCTTTCCTTGGCTGCTACCACCACATTCCCTGCATGATCTCTCTGGGTGTAGAGGCACATACCCTGCCCCACCCACTCCAAACACATACAAAGTAAAGCAGAAAGTGACTTAAAAAACTTAAAACAACAAAACAAAAATCCATCATTCTTAGACTTATCATTTCCAAAGCTATATATACACGTTTATACATACACACACACGTACTTTTTAAATTTTGTTTTAAAGCAGAAGATGTTAGCTTCAAAAGACAGCTGAAGTCTGCCACATGATCAGGGAGAAGCTCATTCATAAGAGACAAAGCTAATTTAAATGAATCCTTAACAAGCGCTAGGTCCTGGGCACTACAGGATAAATAGAAGATAGATAATACCGGCACACTTTTACAATCATAATCTGTAATAAAAGTATTGACATGGAGCTACAGGAGCACAAAAGTAGAGCACCTAACTGTAGGGAGACCAACAGAGGGGAGAGAAGTGAGGGGAGACTGTCCAAGCCAGTCCTTATAGGGCTCCATATAGTGGCTCAAGCGGAATGTGCTGGAGTTCAGTAAGTGGACAAGCAGAGAGAGGACGAAAGAAAAGAGAAGGTGCAAACACCCAGAGGCAAGTAACATGAGAAGTGAGAAAGATGACTGGGGCTGGGTCACAGCCTGAAGAACTGTGTGTGCCATTTTGAGGAGTCTGGTCTTTATCCAGTTGGGAACAACTGAAACATTTTAAGGGGAGTGAATTAAGCACATAGTATTTACTCCCTTCAATGAACGTCTTTCAGAAAAAAGCACAGGACTGACTCAGGTTCCCGGGTGGGTTCTAGCCTACAAAAAAACATCAGGAGGATCTTGGGCAGGTGTCCTGGCTTCAGTGTCCTCATCTGAAAGAATGGAATTAAGGGCTATATTGCCCACCCCATAAGACGATGCGTAGGAGAGTCTGTGCAAGGTCCAAATTATGTGGAAGTGAGTCTGTGTCCAAAAAGGAGGAGGGTCCTTGGTGGCTTTCCCTCACTAAAAACAGGAAGACTCTGGTAGACCCACTCTCTCCATTCCAAACCGCTCACTCAGAGCTTGTAAGCTTACTTTCAGAGATGAACACCAATCTATCATACTAGAGCATTTCCTACAAGAAAAAAAGGCTGAGGACCTTTTCCCACTCACCCTCACCTTTGTCAAATGCCCCAAAAGCTTAGTATACATTTTTCATTTTAAAAGCACTGACTCCTCTTCTTCCCTAGAATAATGCTAAACATGCTTTAATGTTGGCACCATGCGGCTGACAAAAAATCGATCTGACAGAGAAAAGAGAAAACTCAAAAAGCAACTAAGTCATCCAGGAGCCACATATTTTATGAAGCAAGTGGTAATTTCAACACTGGAAGGGGATGACAGAAAAAACACCAAGATTCCTAACAGTGCTCAACTCCCTACTAAAATCCTCACCATTCATCAGACTTCCTTCAGCATTGCAGACAGGGAGAGGTCAGAGTAACACAATAAGATGTATGCTGGTGCTGAAAAGCCAATGTCTCAGAAAAAGTAATCTAATCATCACATGTATGATTGTCACCAAAGATATTGCATCGATGCCCCTACCTCAAATGCCACTAAATAAATTAGAACAAACCTTATTCATCCAAAACCTGGATTATACAACAAACTCACCTATTTGAAATATCGAAAATCTTAAGTCAAAAAGGCTTCTGAGCAGTAGTAACAGCTGAGTCTAACTTTGTGCTTAAGATCAAGGCCTCCACAATGTTTATTTAACAGGCTCACCTCCCACCTCAATTGTAGGCTTTTAACTCTAATGACAACTGCCAACATTTAGTAAGCTTCTATTATGTATCAGATAAGTACTCTTCATTAGAATCTCATTAATCCTAGCAACCACTCTAGGACAGGCATACCTTGTTTCATTGCACT